CCAGTCTTATTATTCCATCTAACATCCCGACTCAGTTAGTAAGAAATTTAACATTACTTGTTGATCAATAGCTTGACGAAATTCCCAGTTATTAAGCGGACCTTTGTTCGAAGATTAGCTCAGTTTTTTTACCTGAATATATCACACAGACAAAAAATGAATCCAAAAGCGATACACGGGAAATATTATCGGACTCTTGTTAGCAAAACCAAAACCTTTCGTGAAGAAGCTAAAGAAACTACTAAAATTAAAAATAACAATTCAGCAACAATATATCTGACAAAATAAAATCCAATCATCACAAGGCACTACAAAAAATATTCCACTTAAACCAACTGTTAGTTTCAATGTTGCAGCAAAGCATTTTCTAACCTTTTGGAACATTATCTGATGTCAATGAAGTGATGATTAATAACTCAGAATATTTCATTAGCTAGATTAAAGATTTTTATATTACAGTTCCATATAGTTAAGAAGTTTTGATGCCATCTCATTATTTACTAATAAAAGTTATCGCAATCAGCTTCATTCAACTTCGATCAAACAAAACCTTGTCATGCATAACCAATCTAAATCCCTGTTCAAAATGTTACTCCTTGTAATGTGTTTGTGTATGTTTAATACAGTTGGAAATAAATGCTTATAAAATAACTGATGGGACCTCCTCTATAACCTGTATAGTTAGTAATTAGAATCTAACTATAAAAAGTTGCTAAATTAATAATCATACTATGATGATCGTGTAAACTGTAGGCTACTAGCTATGACAACGATACACTACTGTTGTTTTATTTATGTTTTTGTTTACTTCTCATCTCGTGTAGTTCAGTCTGTAAACATTCTTCTCGTGCTTATGATAATTCCTTTTATTTCTTTTAGAACAAGAAGGGGTGTATGTCTATTTATGGAGACTTTTGTTACCTTTAAAAATATAGTTCTATTTGGTATCAAGGTGTGTCGCCACTTAACATCATAAAACGTTTCTTTGTTATAAGACTTCTCCAATTTGAACCCACAAAAGGGGTGAACCTGCCTGTTTATTCATAATGTAATTTTACAATTTATTTATTCAAATATGATATAGTTTATTCTTTATCAGATATTTTCTTAAATAATCTTAGAGATCTAATCTGATGATTTTTCCTGTTAACGTGTAAGAACTGTAAATACAACTAATGAGTTTTGTTGTTTTTTTTATCCAACGCTCATGCTGTACAACCGAAACCTATTCTCTGGCGAAATGTTGTATGCTTTGTGTACTTTCATGGATATTTTATCAAAGAAATATTGGATACAAAAAAAAAACGATTGTTGTAAGGAATATGTAGATGAAGGCAAAAATATCGTTACAACTGCATATAATCAGGAACACAAAAAATTGCATTATTTTGAAACTTTGGTTATCTCTATGTTAGTGAACACGATGCTGTGTAAAGATTAAACTGAACGGAACAACGCTCACATTCTAAACAAATAATAAAGGAAGAATTATACATCAAAACTCAAAACTACATCTCAGAACGTGATATCAGTCGTGATTACAGAAAATTAACTGTTATCATCTTCCCGCCACTGGCTCATCAAGTCCAGTTCTACTATACTTCATACACGTTACATCATTATACCGTCAGTATTAGTTTTGTTTAAATATATTCTTCAAGTACCCGATTTAATTGTGTATTATCTCTTGGGTTCATTGTTGACGCTACTAATATTGTATCAGAGTAGCGTCATTGTTTATTAATCGAATCAGAAAATTAAATGTTATCATCTTCCCGCCACTGGCTCATCAAGTCCAGTTCTACTATACGTTACATCATTATACCGTCAGTATTAGTTTTGTTTATATACTTTCTTCAAGTACCCGAGTTAATTGTGTATTATCTCTTGTGTTCATTGTTGACGCTACTAATATTGTATCAGAGTAGCGTCATTGTTTATTAATCGAATCAGTGCAAATCACTTCTTTTCTAACAAGTTCATTCCAGCCTCACACCCGATAATGAACTTTTGAAATAGTTTGAGCTTTGTAATTAAATAAGAAATCTTATCATGTGTTTATAAAAGCTTTTAAATTAGCGTCATTTATTTATTTAAAACACTTTACATCGAAATTACATCGAAGGATCATTTAGAGATTTATTCAAATTGGATTTCCGTTACGAATTATCATGAGCTTTAATCCATAAAACAAACAAACATTTTTTTGTTATTTTATTACAAATAAAATAAGAAAGTACATGTTTTTTTTTACATAGTTCTATCACTTTATGATTCCATAGTTTTCTTTACATCTTAGTTCCAACTAAGTTTTTAACGTCGATTTTTAACGGCATTGAATTGATCATTAAGTCGTTTATGAATGAAATTGTAAAACTCATATTCCATGGTTAGATTTTGTTTCAAAATATCTTTTACTTGTTTGGAAACCATCTTCTTCCGTGATGTCTTGTTCTTTACTTTTGCTGCAAGGAAGAAATAAATCATAAGGATCAAGGGCGCCCGCAGAAAGAAAGAAAAAAAAATTAGGAGGGTTAAATAACTCAAGTTTTAAAAAATTATGAAATCGAAACACAAATACCCTATGATTTTCTGGATACTAATCATACTATTGTTAATACTCCTGTAAATATAAATACCCTATGATTTTATAATAACATAGAATAATAATTTTACATATCTAGTATTTTTTTTTTTTGAATATGTTGGTTTATAGATAAATTGATTGATCGATAGATTAACTTAATAAATATCACGTTGTGGTTTTCATTGACATTTTATACACACACGCCAATATAGTTAATATTTATTACAAGTTTTACATGCCTCAAAAATAACTTCATATGATATTTCGTTTTTGCATAATTTGGGCTATAACCGTACTACTAAATTGTTTCGTAGACCTCTACAACGCCCACTCCTTGTTACATGTTGAAGCATCTATATAAATATAATAGTATTATCTGTAGTATGTACATGTAACTACTTTGCACGGTTTATGTTGAAGCATCTATATAAATATAATAGTATTATCTGTAGTATGTACATGTAACTACTTTGCAGGGTTTGGATGGATCTTTACCCAAATTGGTATGGAGGTTCATTAGGTTCATGCTAGGGGGGGGGGGCGTACAAAATTTCAGTTTCACATTTTGCGTTGTTATGGCCGTTTTGGGTTTGTTTGTTTGTTTTTTTTACAATTACGTATAAGGGAACTTTTCATGTCCTAAGATAATCTTTCATTAATCATGAATTTACACAACTTCCGTTCAGGGACGAATACTCCGATTAGTTTTAGAGTATACTAGCTCATTTTTTGTTGTTGTTGTTGAGAATTTCAGCTCATCCTTATAGTTAACGTGAAGTTTTCTCCAATAAATAGCATACGCAGTAGTATGCAGTAATGCGTACTGAGAAAGAGAGAAAAGACAGAAATATTTCACGTGATTTTATATAATATATAATTAATGTTAACCTCTGATCAAAGCAAGATTTCTACATAGATCAGATCTAACCATATATACTTAGTAGCAAGAGCAGATAATTGAATATAATATTCAAACTACATTACTTATAATGGTTAGAATGCATTATTTCATCACTTGAGTACCGGCGCTGTTAATAACATTATCGGTCGTAAACCCAATAACATCTCACGAGATTTAGCCAGTCCCGGATATTATATTATTCTAAATCCATATATTAACCTAATAATGCAGAATAACCGTTATAATAAAAACGTTTACTTACTTAGGTAGAAGAAGAGTTGGCTGTCTGGTTTGATAAGTTGTTGTGAGGAGCTGGCTGAGCCATCTCAGATGATATTTGGTAAAAGAACTCAGGCATTCCCCCAAGAGATCGAGTTTAAATAAATAAGTCATCAGAGGAACAATTCGAGTTTAGCAGCTACTTCGATTTTAGCGCTTTAATCTCGCAAACGATGACTCAACGCGATAGGATCGGTTGCAAAATACGTGAACCCGACGCCAAACGACAATGATTGTTAATGCTGCGTGAAGCACGGATATATTTGGATCTGACAAATGTTAATGTGCTACGGCTCAAAATAATGAAGGGGTTGCCCACGCACGTATTTTATAACATCACTTTTTAAGCCCGGCACTGCTTATACATTTGGTACAAATATAATGACATTTTCATTCCTTAATAAGTAAAACTTTTTTTATTATAAACGATTCTCTATATATTAAAATATTTAAAAGTGACTGTTCTGAATCGAAACTTTACCATTTTGTAACTTAAAAGTTACTCTTCAGCAATCTTTAAAACTCCTGGCCCGGCATGGCCAGGTGGTTAAGGCGCT